AACAGGGGCGGATCTAGGATTTTTCGTACGTTAGTCAAAAATTTCTTTGCTGAACGTCGAAGGGGGGGGGGGAGTTCTTTTAACGGGGGGAGGGGTCGCAAAGCGAATTAATTTGTTTCCAGTTTTACGAAAAAATGTTACGTGAAAATGACTGTTTCGCCCAATTCCGGTCTCGTCAGCATGCCTAGGAAACACATAACTCCATATTTTGTCCTTAATTTACATGAATGGTCAAAATATTTTCAAATATAGCGATGTAGTTTTATAAAACATTTGATTGATTGTTAATTCGCAGGAAGAGAATTTCCACGTTTAATTCACTGCTTCTCGAGTTTTATTCATAGCAGAAACATGTGCCATGAATAAGTATTCACAATGGCAACATGATGCATTTTACTTTTATTGTATACATGTTGTAGAGATCGTATTACACAAAGCCATGCCACATTGTCATGTGCTTGTAGTTTTAATATACTAGACAACTAGGCATAAATAATACGTACGGTATGTATTCTTAAGTATCTGATCAATATATAAAGCCCACATTCCACAAGAGGCATAAACAAAGTATAAACAAACTGAAACAGCTTGTATTAAGCCGCAGTATTATGTAAATTGACCGAAATATTATGTATAAAATTTCATCTCTTATTACGTACAGACGCGCAACGACTACAGCCTAGAACAGCTATGATGCTATATCAAGTTAAAATAGAATATATTTACCTTAAGGCCGTACAAAACTTATTTCGTTTTCTCTCGAACGTACTTCGCGATGTAAGATTCCGCACCATAATTTCGCGGTGCGAGGAAGAAGCTTGTGTTGTTCACAGCGCTCAATAAGTCTTTAGAACGCTTCGATTAAGATATTGTCGATCATCTTTCTCTAAAGGAGCCTTTGCGGTTTCGTAAATACCAACAGACATGGTTAGTATCAGTTTAGAACTTCTGATAAATATTCCGATTGCCATAAAACGCACATGCTATAAAATCGGCGGGTACGCGTATAATAATAAGAGACGAAATTTACATAATATTTCAGTCAATTTACATAAATACTGCTGCTAGATCAGAAAGATCCAGCAACGTCATAGACCTTTCCGTGCATACTATTAGCCTGAACGGTATGATCGATCAAAAAAAATCCAGCCAACGGGAATTGAGGATTTTTTTTGAATTAGCCAATAGGATAGCCTGTATTCGAGCCCCTGATCGCTTTAGCGATCAGAACTCCCCACAGATCGCGCAAAAATCTTGATAGCCAATCAGATGGCTGGAATCTGACTCAGAGCGTGCAAAACTCATGCGTAAGACCGCTTTTCCGCGCGTTCATGTTCGAAGGCCTTGCTACTGGATGATATCTTAGAACTGGACTGTTAAACTTTCAATACAATACACTGCGCGAAGTTTGATAACTGGACTGCTATTTTAATTTAACAATTTTCTGCCCATTTTTTACCTTAGTCGCGTGATGGCTCTGATCACCCCTAGATCCGCCCCTGGAATGGAACTTGAATTGCCGCGGATTATTTATATTCTTTTATTTTTTGTTGTAATCTTTCTTCCTAATCTTTATATATTACGTCAAATGTACATCAATCTTCTTTTATATCGCACCATGTAAATCGCCGAGGAGGCGATGTTTCGAATTTCGAAGCAGTGAAAATGGAGCCAATCTCGTCCATACTATTTGTGATGATTTCCATCAAGTATAAAAAGGTACAGTATATATGAATTTGAAAATGTTTAGAACTATTTCTCTGTTACAAATTATTTAGCAGATTCCCATTATTTGTTACACTGTCTAGCTCTATGAAATATATATTTCGAAGGCTATTTACTGTAATATATTTTATACAGTATGTTAATATAGTTAGCTGAATTTGTACAATTGTAGTTTAAATATTGTCAATATTTGAGAAACACATGGCCAGACTATGGCCTATAATACTATACTCGGACCCTCAGTAAAGTTCTACTCTCACATGATTATTATTTACAATATATTGATTTATCGCTGCGAGAAACGTGTTTACACTTTAATACAGTATTATTAAATTAAACTACATTTTACAGCAGTATTAACTTCAAATACTTTGTATTTACATTTATACAGTAATGACCTGAAATTATTTAAATGAGCCATTACTGTAATAACAGAGTGGCCAGGTTGACAAAGCTAAAATCTGATGAACCTTACCTGCTAGGATATTTCAATAGTCAAACATCAGTTTCAGCACTCCAGCTGGTCAGGGATTTTTTAGGGAAAAGTTTTAGCACCCCATTGTAAAACCTGCCTCTTGTCGTGAATTGCCTCCTATATTCACAACAACTCACTAAAAGTAGAGATTTCAAACGCTTTTATGAAAAATATATTTATTCTCGCCCCGTCTAAACACAATCACACAAAGTCTTGCAATGTACAAACCGCATGCTTTTTGATTGACACTTGCGCATTAATTAACTTCAGGTATGCCATAAACTGTTAAATATTAAATATTGACAGTCTCCAACACCTCTGAATCTCAAAATTTCATTATTTTGTTCCCTTGCCCCTACAATCTATATTTATACCTTTTGTGCCCTTGAGATCTTTAAAAAAATTGCCTAACTCTGCAGTATGGCGTGTAACCATGTTGCCATATTTATTTTCTGACTTCAGGCTTCAATAAATTTCTACTCTAATACCTGACAGAGATGGGGGCCATACAGTATGTATGAACAATAAGAAATGATTCCTTCATCTATTATTGACCCCTTACCTTTCACCCAATTTTAAAATTAAATTTACTGAATGATTTTGAAGTTTTCTAGATTATTGAAAAGAACTTTATGGGTACAAGAAATAGGGCGAAAACAGTTGAATTAAGCAAGATGCAAGTAACAATGAACCAGACCGGGTCACTGGATGGTATTTCAGCACACTGGTGGACATGCAACCTGATACCTGCAACCTGTGTCACATTTATATATATATAGTTTTACACTGTACTGGAAAAATAATGTCAAGGAACTTGTAGAGATTCAGAATGCACACTCCATATGGGGTTTATTCAATCACCAGCATGCATAATCATTTTATGTTATGGATATTTTTTTTAAATTATTCTCACTTAGATAAAATTATATCAATTTTTAATATCATAAATGAATATATAGTAGCTTTTGATTAAACAAGTTATAATAATATATCAGCAAATAATGGACTGGTTTCTCTGAAATCCATATAGAAAGGTTCAAATTTGACTTCCACTACCACTACTTGATCTGGCAGTTGCATCCGATTGTTTGATTGGATAAATGAAATTTATCGATCTGGTTAGAACTTTAATGATAGCAATAGCAGCAGTGGAAGTCAAATCTGATCTCTCTATTATTTTTTGAAGATTTGCTCTTGTCACGTCAATTCAGGGTTGCCCATGCAACTTGGTTAGCACAGATAGCTCTTCAAGTTGGCGGTCCAATTCTTAGGATTCTGCAAATTAATTCTAGAAAACTGGCTTTGGTTTGGGCTAAGCAAAAATCATCACACTGTTTATCATGCTGATTTAGTTGTTTAACAGTTAAAGTCTAGGCTGCATGTTTTTTGTCCTGCATGTGGCAGATGGGACAGTCTGGTTTCCAAGTGTTTATGTTGGGAATTAATATTAATCAGGACTGGCTTCTGATTGAAGGTCTTGCCTGCTTTATGTGAGAGCAGGCTCTATGCGAGATTCCAATTGCTACACAGCATGATCTCAGTGCTCTTCCTCTGAAACAATGCTTGGTTGCAATATCATCCAGCAAGTGCAAAAATGTACTACCACGGTCAAGGATCATTTGGCATGTTCATCGACTATGTTAACCCATTGAGTGGCGCCATGCACTCTCCACCTGATGAGTAAAATTGTCTGATGTTAGACAGAGTAAACTAACAAAGTAGGGCGCATCTGGGTGCTTTGGGCCATTCCATTTAATGTACACACCACCTATGGACGATGTACACCCCCCCCTAAGAAAAAATATCAAGGTGCCGACACCAACACCCCCAGAAATTAAGAAATTTTTGCCTTATCCCTCAGAAAAAAATGCAAAGATCAAAGGTTACGGATGCACACAACCCCTAGAAATGGCTTTTTCAACCCCCTCAGAAATTCTAGTCCATGGGGGGAGGGGGTGTATATTAAATGGATGGCCCATTGCCACTTAAAGGGTTAAAAACGTAAATACCACAGCACAACACTTGTACATATACATATACAAGTAATACAACAGCAATCCTTTTATATATTTAATAGTCATATTTACATATTGGTGAAATATCAATGTCCATATATTAGGGATGTCCATGAACTTGTCCCTAGTTTGAAGCTAATGTATTCATATATTTTGTATAAGTTGTCCCTCTACAAACCAACTTATAGTCATTATACAAGAGTTGAATTTGCATTCATTTGCTTCGCAAGTCGCAACAAACTGAACAAAGTACTAAACCATAAACCTGTGCAATGATCGAGCGTCTTTAGCGACATATCCAAGTCTTTTAAACGTCTCATTGGAACAAATCTCACTGGGTTTTTTCTACAGAAAGTATTGATCCATTTGATCGATCGCCGTACTTTGAGAAAAGCTTGAAATGCAAAATTTACAGGAAAGATTGAAGAATTTCGGAGATAAAAACTGTTTGTCTTCGAGTTTCACCTGTTCACCCCCCGGTTGAGAAAAGTAACAATTACGTAATGTTGGAGTCACGTGACCAGCGTTTACCAGGGCTACGTTATCTAACCTGCGAACGGGCATATCTGGGAACGAGTGATATCAAAATTAAAAACAAAAAAATGAAATACGATCAAATATATCGATTTATAATACAATGGCATTTGTTTTAAACAACGGAATGTCGTGGTAGCAACTCGTATTCTTCATCTACGAGGTTTATGAAAGTAAAGTTGCCGTTTAAAATTTGTTATCGCTGAAAACATTCGGTAGACAGTTCGACTGAATTTCATCATGTCTCTAAAAAGACTGTTAAGGTGAGTATTATTAATTATTGTTATTATTCCCGGCGTACTTATTAAATCAGTACTCAAAATCGATCAGTGGAAATGTAATCGATAAATTTATGAATGATGATGATGACAAGACAGCTGTGGATTATTTTATTTTATTTTATTTTATTTTACAAGATTCGCCAAACATAACAGACATAAATAAGACTAATACTTTACAAAATTTACATACAATTCGGGCAGGGACTAGCCACAGAGATAATCTCCAATTATGGGGTCCCTTACAATA